ATAAATAAATAAATAAATAAATAAATAAATAAATAAATAAATAAATAAATAAATAAATAAATAAATAGTCATATTAACAATGACTATAAGCGGAACCTAGGTGACACGATGTTAAATCAGCACAGATGGACTTTATAAATAAGAATAATAATTTTAAAAAAACCCCGAGCTAATGATGACTTGAGGTTTGCCCTTCTTTGACTATAAACGGCTCTGCAAAAGAATGACGGGCTGAACTTTAAGAGAATGCTTTACTGGTGCTCAGCACTAGATGGCTTAGGTTGATATGCAAGTCACATTTTTTACACAATGGTCTGAAACCCTAGTCTAACAGTAAAACTGGTTGTCTTGCAGAAATTCAACTGGCGGAGTCAAACTACCACTGTTTAAGGGGTCAGGATCTCCTGGAAAAAGAGTTAAGGATCTGGGATCACACCCTTCTCCATCCCATCCGCGGGTCGCCATCCCTGGGCCGTATGAGAGATAAAAACACCCACCGTGTGGCTCCGTCAGCATCGGGGAAGGGGCACCACCCCAGCTCCTGGAAGCCCAGGAGAAGCCTCGTGACAACCGGCAGCACCAAAGATTACCGAATCCATTCACACCCTGTCCTTTCGCCAAAGAGATTCCCAGCACAATGTCCAAAGAGAAGTGGCAGGACGGGGTTTCCCCTCAGGCTCATAATCTAAATTGAAGACGTGGCATGCCAGGGAAGAGGAAACAGGAGCCATGGGATTCCACGGACTGCAGCCCTCAGAAGTCTTCAGAAATTCCACCACCACCCCAGATTTCCAGGGGGGGGGGCTTTAATCAAGAAATCAAAGTCCGGACAGGGGGGTTCAAGTTCGTAAACTAATGAACTCGACTCTGGTCAGACATTTTCGCTCCGTGGAGAAGAAAATGTGTGGGCAGGGCTAAGATCCACAGAATTATGAGTCTGAGGGTCTCTACCCATTACACTCTTCACAGGAAGCTCCCGCAAGCACTACAAGGCCCATCATTCCTTGTCACGTCCATGGACCCTAGCCCTGCCCCCTCACTTCTCCTGCCTTCACAAGATGAAAATGGCTGCCGGCGTCTGAATTCATTAGCTTAAGAACTTCAGAACTGTGTCAGGAGTTTGATCTCTTGATCAAAGCCCCCAAAATGTTCGACTTGGGGAATTCATGCAGACCTCTAGGGTCTGTAATCCATGAACTCTGAAAAACCCACGCCTAGGAAACAGGCCTTACCCTAAACTTGGCCCATTTCTCTCTTTGCAACAGCAGAAGCCTGTGCTATTTGTGGACAGAAATGATGGGGGGAGTCAGGAGAAACAAAAAGACACACAGTGTTCTTACACAGCATACAGTTCAGCTGCGGAACTCACTGCCACCTGGTGCAGCTTTTAAAGGGGAGTTTGTAAATTCTTGGATGTTAAGGCCATCAGTGGCTGGTTACTAGTCAAAAAGGCTCATACTCTGGTATGAGAGGCAGTAGGGCTCAGTAGCTGGGGATCATGGGACAGAGGGTGCAGTAGCTGGGGATCATGGGACAGAGGGTGCAGGTATGTTCCTGGCAGGCTTCCCATGGGCCTGTAACCTGGCTGGGGATCAGATTGCTGGGCTGGACAGGCCTGTTGGCCTGGGCCAGGAGAGCTGTTCTTACAGGACAAGGAAGATTTTTTGGGGGGGGGCACCCAGTCTTGGCCATGACCGGAAGGAAGCCCTCCGCCCTCTTACCTTAGCCATGAATTCCGTGACGATGTAGAGGCCGCCTTTCTCCTCCACTATCACTCCCAGCATTTGCACCAGATTACTGTGCCGGAGCTGCCTGCAACGAGATCGGGAGGGGGGAGGGTTAAAGGCGGCTTGGGCACAGGATGCCGCCGGAGAGGGCAAAGTCAAGAGATCTGGGTTCAAATCCCTACATGGTCCTGGAAAAGATGAGCTGCACCTTGAACGTCTCCCTCAAAACACCATCTCAGGGTTTGCCGTATGTTGGAAGTCAGCTGACGGCACTGGAAAAACATCAAGAGTTACCTTTCTGCTCCAGCCAAGAGTTACTTTTAAAACTGAATTCAGCCAAGGGGCTGAAATGAGTTTCCTTCTCCTTTTGTAACGGATTGTGTGTATGCGTTCTGTGCTGTCACGAAGGCGGTCTGCCTTGTTTCTTAATTCTAAATGGAGGAACAGCCCGTCCCTCCTCCAGTCTTTCCCATTTTGCACCTGGCTCACAAGGGGTGGGGTAGGGGGTCTTGGGATTCATGAAGAAAAGAACAAAAAAGATCTTTACAAGTTGGATGGTGCCAGTCCGGGGCTGAAAGGGCAAGAGGAACTGTGTTCGTACTTCTCTGGCCCAGCCTGTTCTGGACTTCCTAACGGGGTAGCAACCTGGGCTAGCTGACCCTGAAGGTCACAGCCAGGTCATGCGTGTCGCTGGGCCGAGGGGAGCTGCAGAGGCATGATCTCCCCCCCCCCCAGTTCTTCTTAAGGCTTTGGGCTTCCCCCCTCTCCGAGAGCAGCCTGCTGCCTTCTGATCCGCTGGAGGCCCATCTACGGCTGCCGGTATATACAGAAGAGAGGGCACCTCAGGCAAGGAAACGTCTTGGGCTGGCCCTGGTGAGGTTGGGCATCACCGCACCTCAAGGCAGAGGTGGGCAAAGCCTCGCTCACTGCTCAACCATGACACCCCTGAGGCCATTTTGAAGTCCTGCCCCCAAAGCCCTCCCTTTGTGACACACCTTCAAGTTGGAAGCGACCATAACAGGGGTTTCGAGGCCAGGGGGATATTTAAGGAGCGGCTTTGCCGGTTTCCACACCCCCAGTGAGTCTCCATGGCTGAGCGGGGATTTGAACTCAGCCCCCACTGAGTCCTAGTCCATCGCTCTGTCCACTACACCAGTGGTCCCCAACCTTGGGCCTCCAGGTGTTCTTGGACTTCAACTCCCAGAAATCCTGGCCAGCAGAGGCGGTGGTGAAGGCTTCTGGGAATTGCAGTCCAAGAACATCTGGAGGCCCCAGGTTGGGGACCACTGCACTACACCACCCTGAGTTGGCATCAAAAAGCAAAAACACAACACTTCCCCCCCCCAACCAAACCTTTGAGATTCTCCTCCGTCCCAGGTTCTAACTGGTGTGAAAAGCAGATCAAGCAGGCAAGAAAGAAGGGCCTTTTTTTACTGGTATCCCCAGAGGAGTGAAGAGACTCCCCTTGCTTTATTCTTTTCCTTAATGACATTCCGGACTCAAGTAAAATCAAATCTGCTTTGTCCTGGTTTGTTGAACTAATCTTCCTTCGATTGTTGGAAGTTTTTCAGGCTGTTTGGCCATTTCGTGTTCCGAAATTCAGAACACGGCCAAACAGCTCGAAAAACCTACAACCACCATCGGATCCCAGCTTTGAAAGCCTTCGAGAATACATTCATCCTCCTTTGCTTGCGTTTTTTAAAGCTGTCTTTACAGTTTTGTTCAATGATTTGTTATTTATATGGTGGTGGTTTATTCTAAACGGGAGCCTGGTGTAGCTATTCGGAAACTGTTCGGTAGACGGCTTCAGGGTTCCGATCCCAATAGGAGACGTCTTGATAATACAAGCAAAACAAAGGAGTTAACACATAATACGGTGTGTCTGAACTCGGCCTTCGAACAAGTTATGCAAACGAAGCGCATCTGAATAATGTAATTAGAAGGAAGGAGAGCTGGGCTATGAACTAGACATTTGCATCGGGACTGGGAAAGAGAGAGAAAGGGGAAGTTATGCACAAGAGGAGAGGGAAGTGGAGAGCCACTGGGCTTTAAAAAGAAGCAAACAAAGAAAGTCCAGAATTATAGATTCTGGAGAGTTGTTTCTATAAAATCTACAGAGCTAAAAAAAATTGGAGGAATGGGTGGGATTTCCTTCGAATTCCCACATGCGGGACTCAAGTTCTTCTAAATTTTAAGGCAAAGAAGTCCATTTTCTAAAATCCAGATATGTCTGGTTGATCAATTTCATTTTTTTTTTTTTGCAGGCTGTGGTACACAATGACACAGAAATAGCAAATCATTACCCCCCCCACCCGCAAGGATACTGGGGATGTAATATGACATTCTGGGGCTCACAAATGTAGGAGGGAATTGGGAAAGAGGATATGTGGTCTTCCAAATACCAGTGGATGGCGCACGTGGTCCCCAAACCCTCAAAAGTTGGCCACTGAGCTAACCCTTCCCCTCGCCATCCACAAGACTTCGCTTTCCGATGCTGTGCTGCTTAGTCCTCCCCTCAGCGCTTCACAAGTAGAGATGGGCATGAACCATTGGTTTGGTGATTCGCGCTGGTTCGTTTAGTGGCCAAACAGGTGTTCGGCGCTTCAAAGCTCCGCCTCCCCCAGCAGCTGCCCACTCAGAGGGAAGTCAAACTGCTGTCTCAGAGAGGGTGCCTCCCAGAGGAGGTGGGGCTTCGAAGTGCCAAGCACCTGTTTGGCTGCAAAACGAACCTGCATGAACCACCAAACTATAAGTTCATGCCTATCTCTATTCAATAGCATTTACACCAAAAAACCACTAGGAGAAACAAGAGAGGCGCCATTTCAGCTAAAAAAAATTCTGCAGGGGAAAGTTCCACCTTCCACAAGGATGCAATATTTAACTGCCTCCCGCCCGATTCATCTTTATTTGCCTGGATTCTTTTCCCCTGCCTCCTCAGCTAGCCCACACTCACGTCATGACTGAAGCCTCAGCCAGGAAGGCCTGCGCGGTGGCGTCGTTTTTAATGCACTTCACGGCAACCTTGTTCCCATGATAATCACCCAGCATCACATCTGAAAAATGATAAGAACCAGCTTGTTAGTCAGCAAAAGGGCCTCTCCAGCAGATTAGGCCAAGGATCCATCCAACCTATATCCTGTTTCCAACACGGCCTTACCCAACGGCTCTGGGGAAGCCCACAGCCCTAACATGCAAGCCTTCCTCTGCCCCATTCCTCACAGAATACTAGAATAGGAGACCCTGATAAGATCCCAAGAGCCTCCTGGGCCAACCTTCACCAAGACAGGAATTCACAGCTAAAGCATCCCCTACAGATCACCATTCCAGTTCTGTTTAAAAACCTCCAAGGAAAGATGGTCCACTGTTTTCAAAGTCGTCTGTTTCACTCTCCTACCATCCCAAAGTTCTTCCTAATATTTAGTCACCAGCTCCTTTCTTGTAACTGGAACCTGCTGAATTGGCTTCCTCCACTGCCTTCCTCCACTGCTTGGAGCAGCATTTCCCAGACTTTCTTAACTTGTGGCTCCTTTGACGTAGGGGCCACAGGCCATGGCTCCCCAATACAATATTTTGGATGTTGTACAGTGGTGCCCCGCAAGACGATGTTAATTCATTCAGCGAAATTCGCTGTCTTATGAAAACACCGTCTTGTGAAACGTGGTTCCCCACTGGAATAATGGTCCCGAAAACACCTGTTTTGTGAGTCATGGACTCAGCTGTCAAAATCGCTGCCTTGCGAAAATAAGTCCCTAAAAAAACGTCTTGTGAAGCACGGTCCGAAACATCGTACAGCGAAAATCACCCATAGGAAACACCGTTTTGCGAAGCGCTATAGCGATCGCAAAAACTCATCGTCTAGCGAATTAACCGTTTTACGAGGTAATCGTCTAGCGGGGCACCACTGTACTAGGGAGAAATACACCAGGAAAGAAGGCCTACGAAGGATGCGAAGATTCTGCGGCTACCCTGGCTGGGTCTGGGGGTGCCCCAAAGGGCCACGGTGCACAATGTGGGAACCACTGGCCTAGAGAAAAGCCAGCCGCTGTGCCATCCCTTGCCGACTCACTTCCAAATTCGCCTTTGCCGATGATCTGCAGCAGCTTCAAGTCCTTCATGTTGAGGGACCACCCGCCTAGGAGGAGGAGCAAGAGACACAAGGAAGGGGATGAAGCGGAGTAAAGGATGCGTCGGCGCACACGAAAGCCCCAACCCACCAAAGAGCCGGCCCCGTTTTTCTGACGAGACACCTACTGCGTGAGAATTCATCTTGGGCAGCCACGGTGCCTTCCATGACCTTTGGCTTGATGAGGCGTGTGCAGAGTCCGTCCGCATCGGAGGTGTAGTGCTGTCCAGGAAAAGAGAAACCTCCTTTTCAGAGCCCGAAAAACCCACAACAACCAACTCTTTTTCAGCGTTTCGGAGTTAACGTGATTCATACATCATGGCTCAGATTTGGATTTACATCAGCGACACTGACCCCACGAAGACCCAGGGACCCAGGCGGGATCCAAGCTTGCTTTAACTGACAACACAGCCGGACATCAGCCTATCCAAGACTGAACTCTGTTGAGTTCAATGGGACTTGCTCTCAGGTGCGCATGCAGAGAGAATGGCCGAGTCCGTCCAGCTTAAGAACTGTGTTATTACATACAGTGTATTCTAGAAGGCAAGCTTCGTGATGAAATGCTTAATTCATCCGTTTAATTCAAATATTCCTGATCTCAACCAAATGGGTTTCTCCACCTCTCCTCCCACCTTCCCTTCAACTCTCCACTGCCTTATGGCTACTGAAAATCTGTGGTTGGAAGTGTGGGAATTCCCAATGGCGGCTGTATATGCATCAAAATAAACTATGGGTGGCTACAGCCTATTGTGTTCCTAACAGTTAACCTCTGTCAGAGCCAGATCTATTGATGGATGTTCAGACAAGGCCCCAAACCGGGTGGGAAAGGGACCTCAAAAAGACTAATTTTTCTTCTGCAGGGCGTGGGGAGAAGTTACATCCTTGCTCTCAGGGCAACCTCTTGTCGTCCAACTTTTTACAAGATTCGTTTGTTCGTTCTTTGGGAGAAGTGCTTGATGGTGAATGAAACCAGGCAAGATGCCCCAACCAAAGATTATGTTACCACCCAGCTGTTGCATGTTTATGACACTCGCCATAAAATGTGCTGTCTATATGCCGCTCCATAGTGCTCAAAGCTCTCTCTGTGAGATGTTACCACCCAGCTGTTGCATGTTTATGGCACTCGCCAGAAAATGTGCTGTCTATATGCCGATCCATAGTGCTCAAAGGTCTCTCTGGGAAGTTTACAGTTTAATTATGCACGCTATGCACAAGAAACCTGAACGGAAGCTACCCAAGTCTGGTCAATTAGCTTCATGGCACCTTCAAAATGCGTGCCAACAGCAATTTGTGCCTCAAACCTGAACTGGCTTGCCAGTTTGCTTAGCTGTGCCCTGGAGCCATCATGGGCCCTTCCGCTTCTATCCAGACAAGTGTACAAATTAATCCAAATCTGTCTGAGTCACTTTGGAACTGGGGATTTGTCCAAATCCAGTGTGCAGCCCTATTACCTACTGAGGCCATACTCCATACATAGGACAAGGTGGGGCAGCAATCCATAGCAAACTGATGCAAACAAATGAACAAAACCCACTTACAGTGGTGCCTCGCCCATTGAAACCCATTTAATGCTTTCCAATGGAGAAATTACCTCATCGTCCAGCGAAGATCACCCATAGGGGAAGCCATTTTCCGAGCGCCGATCAGCTGTTAAAATGGCTGCCCTGTAAAGCATGGGTCCGGAAAACACAGAACAAGCATTCTGCGGAGCCGGAAAAATTGTCGTCTTGCGAACAAATGGTTCGCGAAGCACGGACCTAATCATCATCAAACGAAAATCCCCCATAGGAAACATCATTTTGAGATTGCAGTAGCAATCGCAAAAAAGTCATCGTCCTGCGGATTCATTGTTTTACGAGGCCATCGTCATGCAGGGCACCACTGTATATGCTACTAGTCCTTAAAATGAGATGGGACTCTTTGTGGGTTGTGTCACATATAGATTGAGGACACTTCTGCCATTCTCCACCAGGGGGTAGTGTGTAGTTGAACAAAGCTCCCCGTGGCTTCAAGACCAGCACAGACAAGAGACTTGTATTCAAAGCCCCTTTAAATGCAAACACCCCCCCAACACACACACAAAAGCATTAACCCAGGCAGGTTGCTTGCATTTTTCTCTGTGTGTCATGCTCAAGGCAGGCGTGAGTTCCCCAGGGGCAGCCTCAGCCATCCGCTGCACCCCACCTTCCTGCTTCGTCCCCCCAAGCGGACCCAGCACTTTCAGAATTGCTCAGAAGCGACTTCCTGTCTCTGCCGAGCCCTGAGACAGGCAGGAAGCGTTTCACACGGTGCCTGCCTGCCTTCGTTACTGCTGATCGGGGCTGGCAATCTTAACCACAGCCACTTTCTTCAGCCTTGCTGTTGGATTAAGGGATGGGTGGTGAGCCAGACATCCGCCTTCTCCTGACCCCCACGGGCTGGTGAATCATCCAACCTGGGGGAAAGTCCCCCCTTTCCGGGGGGGCTCAGCTAAGGGCCCCGCCTGCCCTGGCGCCACCAGAAGCTGAACACTTCGGCCCTTCGAAACAGGAGGGTGGGGGTTGGAGTACAAACGGCAAAAAAAGAGTTTTGGACGCCAGAACGATCAACGTCTCCCACACCATCGCTTAGAGAAGTGGAATGTCTGGATGGAAACTCTCCAGTTCCCCTAACCAGGAGGGCCAAACAAGCCCACTTCCCCAACTTTATCCTCCACTCCCTACGATCAGAGGACCGTTCAGTAGTTTAGGCATTTGCCTACAGAGCCTGCAGAGTTGCGAGTTCGATTCCCCAGTTGTGCCTCCTTGACAGGGGCTGGACTTGATGATCCTTAGAGGGCCCCTTCCAGCTCTGCAGTTCTAAGATGATTATAGGTGGGGGTTGTTACAGAAGAAGCTCTTGTTTGTCCCATCTAAGGTGAAGAAACTGTAGAGGATCACAACAGATAAGCTGATTTTTTTTTTGGGTGGGTGGGGAGTCCTATCTCCGCCTCCCCACACAACATTTCCTTCAGTGGGGTTCTCCTGAGCCCCTCTGTAGCATTTTTCAGGGAGCTGGAGAAGGTTGTTATGGAGAACAGGGAGCAGGAAAACCCACTTTCCTCACCTGGCGGCATAGGCCTAAGCCTGGTTTCCAGAGCGTTCCCCAGAGACTGCCCCAAAGCTGCAGAGGACAGACGATCCGGTGGTAGACCTGAACGCAGGCAATGGTTGGCTGGGAAGCCGCTTAAAGCCGCCCTTTTTGTTCAAGCTGGAATCTAGGCTTTCCCTTCTCAGTCTGAAAACACCTCCATGTCTGGGAAGGTGAATCTGCACTTACACACCCATAGCTCTTGGACAGCATGGCTTTAAGTTGAGAGATCCTGGGATACAGTGGTGCCTTGCTTTACGATTGCCCCACATTACGATGAATCCACTTTACGATGATCTTTTTGCGATCGCAAAACGATGGTCTAAATGGGGGAATTTCACTTTGCGATGATCAGTTCCCTGCTTCAGGAACTGATTCTTCGCAAAACGACGATTTTCCAACTGCTGATTGGCGGTTTCAAAATGGCCACCGGGTGATTAAAATGGCTCCCCGCTGTGTTTAGGGATGGATTCCTCGCTATACAGGCAGCGAAAATGGCTGCCGTATGGAGGATCTTCGCTGGACGGTGAGTTTTAAGCCCACTGGAACGCACTGAAAGGTTTTCAATACGTTTCAATGGGCTTTTTATTTTCACTTTATGATGTTTTCGCTTAACGGTGATTTTCCTGGAACGGATTATCACCGTTAAGCGAGGCACCACTGTATGTACTTTGGAGAGATATTTAGGATTCTCTGCCCCAGTTCTGGGGCAGTGGCCGGCCTCTCTAGCTGAGAATTCTCAGCTTCTCACCAAACAATAAATCCCAGGATTCCACAGGATGGAACCAGGGCAGTGAAAGTGGTATCACAGCAAGATACGTGGGTTTTGCAAAGACATCCGTGAGTCCTAGGAGGGCTCTCAGGCAGGCGGCAGCCCTCGTATCCCGAATTCTGCCAGTCTCTTTCCGGGCCCAATTCAAAGTGTCGGTTATTACCTTAGACAGCACGGGGCCAGGCTATCCAAAGGATCGTCTCCACCCTTCTGAGCCTCCTTGGCTTTCACGATCTTCTGGGGAGACCCCTCTCTAGGCTCCACCACCTTCCCAAGCTCGTTGGGTGGGGACACCAGAGAGGGCCTTCTCAGTGGTGGCTCCCAGGCCCTGAAATGCCCTGCCCGGAGAAGCCAAGTTGACCTCCCTCCCTCTGGTCCTTCCTTCACCCGGTGAAGACCTTCCTCTTCAGGTTGGCTTTTAAGCCGTTAAGTTGTCTCAGGAATGCTTTGTTTATTAACATACAGGTTTTTTAATTGTTTTTTTTTTAAAAAGCTTAAATATGTGTTTAATTGATTTTTAAATGTGATGTTTATGTTTTGCTTTTAAAGTTGTTGTTTTATCTGCTGTGAGCTGCCTTGGGTGTGCTATGGGGGTAAACAAGAAAGCCAAACAACCCATCCACCCACCCCAAGGGCTGCTCCTCCTGGGACTGCCTTCTTCGCACGGCCGTTGCCACGACTCAAGCATCACCAACAGACGCACGAGCCCTTGGTGGCTAAAACGGCTAGTTCTGTCTCAAGAGGCCAACAAGGTATGATGGGGAGGAGGAAGTGGCTTGCTGGGCTTCTTCTAAGCTGGGGGCTGCACTGTTGTACAGGCTGCAGAGGTTCCCAGGGAGGCATCTCTCCCTGCCTTGGGGCACAGCAGTTAAACTGCTGGACTGCAGCCCAAACTGGGCTCAGGACCCGCGGTTCAACCCCCAGTAGCCATCTCAAGGTTGACTCAGCCTTCTCTCTTTCCGAGGTCGGTAAAATGAGGACCCAGCTCCCACTCCTCATGATTTACAACCCTTGCTGCGAATTAGGGGTTCTCATCCTAGTTGGCTAACAATTTGCCAATTCAGATCTCACACCAAACAAGAGCCCAAGAGGCGATTCTGTATTTTGTTCCCATGATCATGTTTAGAAAGTACCGTATTTTTCGCACCATAAGACGCACTTTCCCCCCACAAAACAGGGGGGTGGAAAGTCTGTGCGTTTTATGGAGCGAAGAAAACAGATTATATTTTCCTGTTTTCTTCTAAAAAATTGGTGCGTCTTATGGAAAGGTGCGTCTTATGGAGTGAAAAATACGGTAATTAACTGCCGTTAACTGCTTCAGCATTTTAAAGGTTACTCTCACTCTTGTGCCACTCATTGTGCTTTTATCAATATATTTTTTTTGCCCTTTTAAAAAAAGAAAACTCAGCAGTTTCGGTATCCAGCTGTGGAGCCAGAGGTTAAGAGTTTTAGCTCCCCATTGCATATCTCAAAAGAGCCAGCCTGGGTGGTCTTGGGCAAGCTGCACAGTCCCAGGGCGACCCCTAGGGCACTGGTTCTTAACCTTGGGTTACTCAGGGGTTTCAGACTGCAACTCCCAGAAGCCTTCACCACCAACTGTGCTGACTGGGGCTTCTGGGAGTTGCAGTTCAAAAACATCCGAGTAACAAAGGTTAAGAACCACTGCCCTAGAAGAAGGGAAGGAAGAACCACATCTCAGATCCCTCTACATAAAAAACTCTGAAAAGGCTTGCCCTAAGTCGGAATCAACTTGATGGCACATTGATGATGATGATGATGATGATGATGATGATGATGATACCACTATTACTACTATCACTACTACTACTACTATTAAAAATAAGAAGTTGCTTCTTCGTATTCAGCCCCGTGCTGAACGAAATTGCTCCTACCCAGTGGAAATATTTTCACAGTGTTGAGGAATTTGGAATGAGCCAAGCTCACCCCAAGAGGTGGAAAAAGTACAGACCTGCTTACATGAAATAAAGTGGTAGGAATATATCCTCAAATCTCCTGCTGCCCCCTCCAGCGGCAGGGCTTGGCCCCCAGTGGCGCCTTAGTTATGGAATTCCCCACCATCAGAAATCAGGTTTCCCCCCCGATACATTTTTATCCTTGCAAGTGTAATTGAAAACATGCTTACTTGTGCAAGCTTTTGGGGAATATGCATGCTTTTGCAGCATTTTAACAGACACTTGCAATATGTTCCCCTCCCCCCCCCAGATATTTGACATTACAAATAGGAGGAAAGCTAGGATTTTTCTTCTTTTTGTTAACATGTTTGACATCTTAGATAGGTGCAATCTGTCATTTTAAAACACAGTCATGTTGAGAACAGTTGAAGGCAGCCAGAAAAAAAAGGAAATTGAACATGACATGGATTAACTCAAAAAGGGAACCACGGCTTTTACTTCTCAAGATCTGAGAAGTTAATGACAGGAGCTTTGGAAGGTCCCTGATTCAGAGGGTGACCTTAGGTTGGAAACGGTTTAAGAATGCACAACAAAAGCTGTTAGTGATTTTTGATTTAGACCTTATATATGCACAGTCTGCGATTTCAACTACAGTAGGGGTTCCAATCCCCCTTGTGGATGCTGGAAAATCCCAGATTATTGCAAATGCTATACATATCCTGTTTCCACGAAAAGAAGATCTAATTTTAAAATAAGCCCTAGTATGATTTTTCAGGATGCTCATAATATAAGCCCTCCACCCTTGTGCAGCAACGGAAAGAAGTCATGACATGACTGTACAGTGGTGCCCCGCACAGCGAGGTTAATTCATTCCGGATTAACCTTCGCTGTGGGAAACATCGCTGTGCGGGAGGGAAAAAGCCATAGAAACGCATTGAACTTTGTTCAATGCGTTCCTATGGCTTTCAAACTCACCGTTCAGCGAAGTTCCTCCATAGGCAGCAGCCATTTTCGCGCCCTCCCCTCGCAGAACGAGGGCGCCAAAATGGCTGCCATCAGCTGTTCGACGGGTAAAAAATGGCGGCCGGAACAGCCGAAAGGGGCCGGGGCGCAGCGTTTTCGCGCCCTTGGTAAGCAAGGGGAGCGTGCGAAAACGCTGCCAGAAGCCCCGAAATGGTTGCGAGCAGCTTACCGACCTTCGCTCTGCGATTTTTGCCCATTGGGGCCATCGTTGTGCGATCGCTTTAGCGATCGCAAAAGCATCACCGTAGAGCGAATTCATCGCTCTACGGTGCACTCGTTGTGCGAGGCACCACTGTATTTGGATGCTCATAATATAAGCCCTCCACCCTTGCGCAGCAACGAAAAGAAGTCATGACATGACTGTATTTGAATAAATGTAGATGGTTGTACATGAAAAAAATAAATAAAAACATCCCTGAAAATAAGTCCTAACGCTTTATTTTTGGAGCACAAATTAATATAAGACCCTATCTTCTTTTCAGGGAAACACAATAGCATGGTCTCTGGCACCCTCTAGTGACCAAGTTTGGTAATATCATCTTTAAAAAAAATTTCCTAGGATTTTTCTTTTAATATTTTTAGAGTATTTTTGTTTTTGTTTTTAAGACCATGAATAAGTGAATCAGGATTCTGAACCTGCTGATAAGGGGGCTCTACTATATGTGTTTTATGAGATCTCTTAACCATCACTCCCCCCTTGAGGAATGGCAGGATACAAACTGAATTATTACCACTGCCGTTTCTGCTACTAATAACAATAATAATGTTAGCGTCAATGACAATGTTGTTGTTGATGGGGGGGGGAAAGGTAATTCCCAATCCCAGCTACATGAAAGGTAGACTGGAGTTCGCTTTTCCTCACCTCCACCAGCTGCATGAGATTCTCAAAGTACACCTCTTCATCAATGCTCAGCTTGCTAGAGTTGTAGATGATCCGGTAATGCTCCACCTTCCCGTCGCAGCTGACGCAGAGGGTGTAGTCGCCCGGGTAGTTGGTGCTCTCCCGCACCAGGAAGAGGCCCGTCTCTGGTGGGTACAGCAGCCGTTCGGCCTGCTCGCGGGTGATCTTCCCATGAAACCAGCTGAGAGAGAGTGAAAGCGAGAGAGAGAGAGAAAGAGAAAGAGAAAGAGAGGTTGCTAATGCCAATCAGGTTTCTGGCACTTCCAACATGTCCAGAAGGCTGACATTCAATTGGGTCCCCGCATCCAGCATGTGACACCTGGGGATTAATCCCAAAAAGCCATGTTAGGGAAGTGGCTTACTATGCTTGTTTAGAACTCAGGAGACTCAAGTTCAAATCCCCCGCTGGCCAAGAAACTCAGCTGGCGATATTCTGGGCCAGTCAAACAGCTTCTCCCTGCTTCTCCTCTCACCATCTAGACAAGTCAGGATGGGGCCAAGCGGCTTCCCATTTTCGGGGGTCATACTCACGGCATCAGGCTGAGCTTGATCCCAGCTTTCACCCCTTCTCGCTTCTGTACGTAGTTGGCGGGAATGATGCCTTCGCGACCCACTTTGTTTTTTGCTTTGTACCAGTTGGGATCCTGGCAAGGGGAAGCCAAAGTTAGCATGGGCCGACTGAGTCACCGAAAGAGGGGTGTGTGTGTGTGTGTCTGTTCTCCCCATACCAGTCCCTTGCTCCTTGCTTGGTTGCCTGCCTTCTCCCCAAGGTTAGGGGCAGAGCTTCAGGCTAAGCAAAACTTCCCTGCAACTGAAGCCTAGCATGTCTGGAAGAAAGATGCTGGGCCAGAGGGAGGTCTATTTCCAGGGAGACTTCTTTCTCCTCCTCCTTCTATTACAAAAATAAAAGGAGAACCTGCACTTTGGTGAAGTGGTAAACCTCTTGAATGACTCCAATGTTGGAGCACCCACCACCTGGTTCCGTTGTCGTACTGCTCAAACAGTTAAGGAATTTCCCCCGATATTCAGCCCAATTCTGGACTCCTGTAGCGTGAGCCCATTATTAGGTATCCTGCACTCTGGGATGATTTGAGAAAAGATCCTGCCCCTCCTTTGTATGACAGCCTTTCAAGTCTTTGAAAAGTGCTATCAGATCGCCCCTCAGTCTTTTCTTTTCTCCAGGCTAAATGTGCCCAGTTCTTTCAATCTTTCCTCACAGGGCTTGGTCTCCAGGCCCCAGATCATCCTTGTTGACTTCCTCTGAACTTGTTCCAATTTGTCAGCATCCCCCTTGAAATGCATTGTCCAGAACTGGACACAGTACTCAAGATGAGGCCTCACTAGTGCTGAATAGAAGGGAACTAGAACGTCAATGCCCATACACTCAAGGGAACTAGAACGTCAATGCCCATACACACTTTTTTTCTCTGTTTCAACCACCCCATTTCCTCCCTCCCTCCCTTCCTTCCTTCCTTCCTCCCTCCCTTCTTCCCACCCTCCGGATGGATGGCTCTTACTCAATGGCCAAACCCACTGCTTGCAATGGTTTTTTTCAATTAGCCTTCCAGACACAACGAAGCCTTCCGGCTGCAAGTTGACCAGCCCTGCTTAAGTACTCCTGGACTGCATATGCAGATCAGGCCCTAATACGACTCATCACAAGACTGAAGAGCCACTTGGGGCAGACCAAGGAAGCGCTTATCCGACTTTTCGATATGATGATGCTTCCTGCCTAGCAAAAGGCAGAAGAGCAGAGCTTGTCACATACCAATAAAATAATCATCGTAGACGGGCAGAGCTTGAAGGGATTTTATGAACCATCAAGTCCAGCCCCTCTCAAGGAGGCACAATGGGGGCCTCAAACTCCCAACCTCCGGCTCCATAGCCAGAGACCAAAACCACTGAGTGAACAGCAGGTGCTATTTTCCTCTCCGTAGCCAGAGACCGAAACCACTGAGCGAACAGCAGGTGCTATTTTTCCCTCCCTTTTGGACACAAGCTCCCAGAATCCCTCAGCCCACAAGGAGGGATTCTGGGAGTTGTAGTGCAAAATTGGGGGGGCCAGCGGAATTAGCATCTTTCCAGATGTTGTCAGACTGCAGCTTTTATCAGCCATAGTTCACTTAGCCAAGGGCAAAGGATCATGGGAACTGTGGTCCAACATCATCTCCAAGGCTACGTGTTCCCCCACCTCTTTCGCAGGTACTTTCTGGCTTCCATGTATTGTGGTCAAGTTGCCTCTGACTTGTGATGACCCCATGAATGAGCCATTTCCATAATGTCCTATCCTCAACTGCCCTGCTGACAAATTCAAGCTTGTGGCTTCCTTTAGGGAGTAAGCCCATCTTGTGTTCTTCCTCTTTTCCTGCTGCCTCCCACTTTTCCTGGCATGAGTGTCTTTCCCAGGGAATCCTGACTTCTCATGATGTGCCTAAACTAGGACAGTCTCCGTTTCATCCCTGTTGCCTCCAGAGCTAGTTCAGTCTTCTTTTGATTTAGGACCCACCGGTTCATCTTTCTGGCAGTCCAGGGTATCTGCAAGGTTCTCCTTCAGCACCACATTTCAAATGAATATTTTTTGCCCCATCAGCTTTCTTTCCTTTCCAGTTTCAACGCCCATGCATGGCGCTCAGAAATACAAGTGTGGATAATCTTGGTCTTGGCCACCCCTCCATAGACTTGATGATCTTTCCTTGTTCTTTCATCGCTGCCCTTCTGAGTCTCCGTCTTTTTCAGATTCCTTGGCTGCCGTCTCCCTTTGGACTGATGGACGAGCCAAAGTATACAAAATCTCTGACTATGTCAATTTCTTCATTGTCAGTGTTAATGTTGTGTAGTTCTTCTGCTATTGTGGGGTGAGAATTATACAGCTATCTCGGTTTTTCACCTTTAGTACCAGGCACGAGGAACAAACTATGAGCGGAAATCTGCAAGTCTTCTCTCAGGGACTTGACCGAGTGGCTTACTTTCAAAAGAACTTTAAATAACGTTCATCTTTAATTAACACATATTGCTTTCCCCTATCCTGTTTCAGGCCATGAGGGAGAGAAGACCGGTCTCACACGCCACACTGGCAAGCTCCGAAATCTTCCCGACAGTGAGGCATTCTTTCCCAGAGTGTACGCAAACTTCAAGAGACAGGGAGGTGTAGTGGGTGGAAGGTTAGACTAGGAGTCAGGGGACCCGGGTTCGAATCCCCACAGAGCCGTGTAAACTCGCAGGGAGGTGGCAACGGAAAACCACTCCTCACAAAGTCACTGTAAGTCAGAGGCAATGTGACAGCCCATAATAACAACACCACAGTCTATAGAAGGGCTTCTGGTTGACTTTCCCTGATCTCATCCTTCCCAGAACCAGGCTCTTAAGAGCAAAGATCTCTGGTCCATCCTTTGCCTCTGATTTTACCATGGTTATATGGATATAATCTAAGGATCTCACTAAGGAACTAGTCCTCAAGATTTCCTAGAAAATAAACTCTCTCTCTCTCTCTCTCTCTCTCTCTCTCTCCCCTACTCCCTACCCACCCCCTCTCTCTCACTCCCACACACACACACCCCACAGGCACTAACATCTCCCTCTCCCTGACTCCAGGGGCTTACCTTGGTGACAGAGATGATGGTGAGAACGTCTCCTTTGCTGAACGGGAGATCCTGATCAGCCGTGCCGTGAAAATTGTACTTGGCAATACATTCCGTACCTGATGGCCAGACGGCCTGTGGGAGAGAACAGAGGCAGAGGCCGACTGAGAAAGGTCTTGCTACAGAACTAGAGAGTGGTGCAGGGACCCATAATGCACAAAAGCCTTGCTCTTCTGGAGGAGCTATGGGGCATTCCTTCCCGACACCAAAGTTTGGGCCTCTTGCTCTCTAATGCTTGGGAAGTAATTACTGCTGGTGGTCAGATCTGAAGGATTTGCAGCTCAGAGAGTCCTCTTTCTCCAAACCTGTGAAAAACAACTAGGACATTTGAGCTGCTTCTCAAAGAGAGGATGAAAGCCTCAGACACTTAAGCCTAAAGGCCAAACAATCTGAGATGCCAGCTTTGACATTAGAAAGGGATAAAACCTTTTCATTCCCTGCAGAAGGGAATTCCTTCAAAGCTGCCACATCTGAGCAATCGCACCCCTTGGGGAAATGAGTTGTGATTTCACAAAAGAAAAGCAAATCAATCCCTCAGCTAAGGTGCAGCAGAGAGATTAAAGCGAGCAGCCTGAAATCTGGCAGGCTTCCTCTGCTCTTTAGAGTCTGCCACTGCTCCCAATTTAATTTATATCAGTGCAAAAACAAAACAAAGCAAAAGGAATAGTCCTTTTAATTTTCCAATGAACCAATTTTGCAAGTTTACCAATCAGTCCAAGTCTGGGTCAACAAACCAAAAAGCCTTATGGAAGGTCATGGCAGGGCATGAGGGCAGGTTGCCCACTTTTCCTCTGGTTGCAAGATGCTCAAGAAACTACACACAAGCTGCACCTGAACCCCTATGTCTGCAAAGCTGCCGACGCCGGCAGAAATTCAGGATGTTGTGCAGAACCTTCAACCAGACGGGCCCCATCTACCCGAACAGCTCGTAAACGAAAGAGGCCCTCTCGTCCCCTATTTCCTGTGGCATGTGTGCCAGCGGCTGGGCGTGCCCCGGATCTGCACCTGTGACAAATGCACTCAACGGATGGATCTCGGAGTGGCGCCGACAAATCTCGCCAGGCTTCTGTACGTAGTTGGCACTGGGAGTCATTCAAGAGATGTACCACTTCACCAAAGTGGAAGTTCTCAATTATGAGAAGTTACTATTTGGGGAGCAAGAGTCCAATGCCTGATAAGAAAACCAGACAGACTTGTGGTACCTGAGAACACAAAATCATGACCCTATTCGCCCCCGTGAAAGTAGGGTTTTGTAGTACAGGCCGCAGTCTGTGATCTGACTGAAACACGCATTCCTACAGTCCACTATCAGCTCTGGTTATAGCTTGGATCCTAAATATCGTTAGTTTGGGTCCAAGCTATCTCAAGGACGGCATCTCCCTTCATAAGCCTGCTTGGGCATCAAGGTCATTAGAGAGGACCTTTCTCTCGGTCCCAAGACCATCACAGGTGAGTTTGGTGGGGATACAGGAGAGGGCCTTCTCTGTGGCTGCTGCCAGACTCTGGAACTCCCTCCCACTGGCTGTCCTTCTACAAACAGACCTTTCTCTTCAGGAAGGCTTTCCCTTAGTGACTAGCTGCCTGAGTGGGATTTTTAAATGGAGTGTTGTGCCTTGTTGCTTTGAATGTGTTTGTGGTGTTGATCTTGTTTACTGTTTTAGTGTGACATCTGTTTGCTTCTTTCGTAATATCTGTATACTTGCTGTTTCTAGCTTTTAAATATTGTCTCCTATTGATACATGCTACCTTGGATCTGTTTTAAGGAGAAAAGCAGAGTAATATATTATAAGTAGCTAAATAGGTTACTGGTAATTAATTCCTGTTTTGCAGTAATTCAGCTACATAACAATTGCTATGTAACAAGCAGTACGTTCATGTCTTTTGTGGTATATCCGTAACTGCTTCAGTTACTCTTTCATTTGTTCAGAGAGGTTGCGTCGTATGTTTCATACAGAACCTGGAAAAACAATGGCCACAATCCTACTGCTAATTTATGATCACGTAAGGGAATCCATGCAAGCGTCAGCAGGGAACTGACATTCACCAATAAGGCGTTGGTTGCGTTCCTGTCCAAAGGCTCGCACCCAGAAGTGCAACCAGCATTTCAATAATGAGCAGCCATCTGCTAAGAAGACTTACATGGCTGCCCTTACACAAGTGTAAACCAGCCACAGGATTCTGGCCACTACCATCAGAGCCCTACAGCCAGCACATAAGACTTTTGGCATAAAAATGAAGACCCACGTAAAACCGAGCCGAAGACCTCTTTCCTTTGTGTCCGTCCCTTCCTCTCACCTGCACTCCCGACATTTTCTCGGTGGGTTCTGGGGACTGGATCTCACAAGAAGGACACGTCACTTGGTACCATGAGACCTAGAAGAGAGAGAGAGAAAGGTTTCTGAGGTTACGCTGCATTTTCTGTATTCACACAAGCAATCGTGCGTGCAAGAAAGCTCTCTCACCGGTGAAAAGAGCTTCAGCAGCCTAGAGACACAGAGGCAATTTTTTCCTTAAAAAAAAGCATCTTTCAAGCTGTTTCCTCTTCAGCTTTCTGCCATACATTCTTCACTTGTGCCTGTTTAAAAAGGCACAGCATCTCTCCCTGCTGCACGTATCGGCGGGCACCAACCCAAGACTGGAATGTTGAAATTTCAGGATTAGAACTGCCAAAATCTTCAGGATGGAACATGAACTCAGAAACCCTCTGGCCATGCTAGCTGGCTTGGGGATTGTGGGCTTTGCAATCCCCCAAATAACCTTTCCAGGCCCTCGCACCAAATATAAGGAGGAACTGTATTTACAATCTGGCCTCGCAAGACGAATTTAATTCGTTACGCGGTTAATGTTGTCTTGCGAAAAATTTGTCTTGAGAAACGCGTTTTCCCATAGGGATGCATTGAAATCTAATTAATGCGTTCCTATGGGCAAAAAAGTCGGAACAAAGTCAAATTTGGTATACAAAGGGTTTATTAAGTGCTCTTTAAAGCCATACATATTGTGCAGATGATTTAAAAAATTTCAATTAAAAACTTTAACTTTTTAAACATCACAGAAAAACATTTAAAAATCAGCAAACATGAAGCAGGAACAAAAAACGGAAAACATTCACACAGCCATAGGAATGGAACTCGTTAACCAGTTTAGCTCAGTGATGTTAACCAGTGAATATGTTTACACAATATGATTGTTTTTGTCTTCGAAGAGCTGTAAGTAAATGGGAACATTTTATCCTCCTTCATTACCAGAGTCTCTGAGTGAATGTATCGAAACAGTAAGTGCCTGCTGAGGTAAACTAACAAATAAGAGGTGGTCTACTGTGGGAGACTTGGAGTCAATCTTGCTGTTCCTGACTGAACCATTTTTTCCTATTGTGTAATTAGAGGAAGTTTATTTTAATTAAAGCCACACCCAATTCCTCACACACTCTGCCCCTCCCCCAGCCACCACAAACTGGCATGTGGAAGAAGGAGAAGTGGGAAAACGCCAGGCGCTTCATTTCTCTCCTTCTCTTTGTTCTCCTCTGTGCTGTGGGGAAGCGAGGATTGCCAATTTGTTCACTAGCCATCTGCTCCTCTGCACTTAAGGCAGCAGCTCAACCTGCAGACATTTGTAGGGGAGGTCACGCTTATAATTAACTTAAGGCTTACTCAGGACATTATATTCTTCTGCTACCTGGGGCTACCACTGCCTCTTATTTTGACCTAATAGTTCAGGGGCTGCACCAGCTCCTTGAGTGGTTTATTGGCTTCCGCCAGCAACTCATTTGACAATTAACAATTTCATTCACCCAATGATCATTTAGCTCACCCTCTCAAAGGCTAGCAGATTAACCCAATCTAAACTTTAACAGCCACAATGGAAATCCAACATTGCCTTTTCTTTAAACTGGGAACAAAAGCCAACCCACACAAAGCATCACTTGCTCCTTGTTCCCAGATTCAGCTGTTATCAGAGACACAGACACCAACCAGGACAGGATCAGTTGGCAACCTCAGAGGCGGGGAGGCAGTTTGAAAGAGAAAGGTTTGCTACGGCTGCTCTTGTTCAACCACATGGATCCATAAATCCTTCCTGTTTGAGGACAAATCACCCAGAAGCCAACCAGCAGCTGTCGATCGACCCTCTGTCCTACTCCTGATAGAGATGTCTCCCGAGATTTGGTGATTCAGACCTTCTGTGTCTTAATGCCTGCTTTAGTGTGTGTGTGTGTTCAAAATGCCTCCCCCATTTCGGTCTCCCGCTTTCATAAAAATGTTTATCAGGACTAAAGGCAGCCAATGGTGTTATAAGCATGAAAGCTTAGAAAAGCAATGGGCAGCTTTTGTGAGGACCCACTTTTCCAGGGGACTGGAAACCAAACCCTATGAGGAAAGACTGAGAGAACTGGGCATGTTTATCCTTAAGAAAAGAAGACTGAGGGGAGACAGGGTAACACTTTTCAAATACTTGAAAGGTAGTCATTCAGAGGAGGGGCAAGATCTGTGCTTGACCATCCCAGAGTGCAGGTCACGCAACAAGGGGCTCAAGTCACAGGAAGCCAGATTTAGGCTGACTATCGGGAGGAAAAAGAGGTTAACTGTTAGCGCAGTATGACGATAGAACCAATGATCTCGGCAGGTGGCGAGCGCTCCCATGTAAAAGAGGTTAACTGTTAGCGCAGTATGACTATAGAACCATTGATCTCGGCAGGTGGCAAGCGCTCCCATGTTGGAGGCATTCAAGAAAAAACTGGATAACCCCGTCAGATCTGCGTTGGAGGCATTCAAGAGAAAACTGGATAATCCCCCATCAGATCTGCCTTTGATTTGGATTCCTGCCTTGAGCCTTATAGGCCCCTTCCAACTCCATGATTCTTCCCCCTATGGCCAACTTATAGGCCCCTTCCAACTCCATGGTTCTTCCCCCTATGGCCACCCAAAACACCAGGAGAAAAGCAAAAGGTGAGCCCCCTAATGGCTAAGAGTCCATTTCTAGTCCTAAAAATGGACAGTTGGGTTTGCTAAACTCTCTAGGAGGCCCTGTGATCAAGGTTCTCACTAAGCTGGGCACACGTGCACACAACTTCATTCTCCTCCACACAGCGGTCTTCCTCCTCCACACAGCAGTCGTGTGAGGTTCCAGTTGCAACAGAACCCAGAACACAGGTGTGTGCGCGCGCGCACATGTGCAGAGTTGCACATTCAAGCAGGCACAAAGCCATTCGCGACAGAGGCAGAGCCCTGCCTGGTGGGGCTGAAAATCATAGGGCACGTTGCTTGTGATCTATTTAAAAAGTCCACTGCCATGACCGCAGACTTCCAGGACCACCTGTTCAGGGTTCTGAACAGGCCAACTAAAGGTGGGCTCGGGGTGCAGAAACAGTTTGGGGGCGGTGGTGCGTTCAGCTTTATGGCCTTAGTTTGTCCACTTTAGAACAAAATTCCTTCCACACAAAATGCGGATGGTGGAACACCTTGAAACGCCAGCCATCCAGAAGGATTATATCCACCCTAGCTGTTTCGAAATGCTGGCCCTTTTCATGCTAGTCCTCCTCACTATGCTCACTTCAAGGGAAGTCCCAAAGTGCAGGCCGCTCTCTCTCTCTCGACCCAGAGAAACAAGTGGGTCACAGGAGCGTCTCCGTTCATGACCAGCAGATAGATCTTTTGCGAAACGAATAAAGCTTGGAAATCATTGGCTTAAAAATTATTTTCCTATTTGTTCAATGATCAGCATTTTGAGAATCAGCTATTTTTAACCATTTAACACCAGCCGAAGTATTTTGGAGTAACAAATAATGGTTCTCATTCACCTTGACTAATTACATTTTAAACTATTTTTTTTAAAAAAAACTCAATAATGCAACAGATCAGTTAACAAATTAGTAAGCTAATATTTTTTTATAACAACACAAACCTATTGATTAATAATTATGTGCTGTCGATTCTGACTTACAAAGTTTTCTAGGTACAAAAGTAGTTTATCAGCCCCTCCACTTCTGGTTGCATGCTGGGACTGTACAGCTTGCTCAAGGCCACACTTGTTCCAGATGATGGCAGTTGGCCCCTCTCCCAAGAGGCCCAATGGGGTTTAGAACTCCTGGCCCCTGGTCAATCATTCCAACCCACTGAGCTACACCAGCGCCACCTGAACCTGTTTCCAATTAAGACATCTTAAGCTGTCCATTCAAGATCAAATCTTTATACAACACTGGTTGCTGGGAACCCTAGTGATGGTCTCACACAAGGTTTGTGTAACTTGCTGAGGTTAAGTGCTGCTAATGCTGGGGCATGCCTTGATCTCATGCCAAGTCACCTGCCGGACTATGCAACCAAGATGCGCTCATCGATTAGCTACTACGAGTTGCGCAAACCTTCAGGAACACCAACAGGATCTGGTCATCGCATGGCAAAAGAAATAGCTCACCACAGTCTATTGCTATCAGAGAAATCCATTTCTGCTCCTAACCATCTACTGCAATAGTTCCCAACCTTGGGTCGCCAGAAGTTCTTGATCTAAAACTCCCAGGAGCCTTCAGCACTAGCTTTGCAGGCCAAGATTTTGGGAGCCTGTAGTCCAAGAATATCTGGGGACCCAAAATGGGAATCGTTGGTTTACTGTGAGCACCACAGCTAAAAACAAAGAAGCCCGGTTAGATCAGCGGATGATCTAATTGACCACATGGATCAAAAGATCCTGGTGCTTTGCGCTCTCTTAATCTGGCACCACTATGCTAGCAGTTTTCGGTCTGTGGGCACACAGGCATAATCTAGGTGGGACACAGGCTTTACCTTACAACTACTCAGAACTAGATATCTCACGATCCCCATCTCAAGTGTGAGGTGCTCTCCCCATGGCTGATTCCGCATCTGTGATGTTACCTTGGAGTTTCTCTTTGTCCTTGACTCACCAGTTTCCCCGAAACAACAAATACAGTACCTGCAAACCCATAAATCCCCTTCTTGGGGGAAAATGGGTTGTGTATCCTGAAAGAACTCACATCCTTTGACAGAGCCATTGGTGGAACATCACATGCAAAAGGTGGAGACACAACCTTGTAGAGCAAGAGAACCTGAAAGAACTCACATCCTTTGACAGAGCGATTGGTGGGACATCACATACAAAAGATGGAGACTCACAGCCCTCCCCCACTGATCACGACAAACCTTTTTAGAGCAAGAGAGGCTCATAAATGAGTGAGTCATAGACACCCCCACGAATAAGAAGTCACAATGGCTCTTAATTTCAACTCTTTCTTCAGCCACTGCAAACTTGTGGGTCAAAAGGCTACCCACCTAGATGCCCGGAACACCATCTTTCTGCAAACCGAACCAATCCAAACCCTTTCAGAGCTTCTCTCTCACTTTTTGTTTAAGAGCTAACAACCAGCTTTT